CCCCCCCCCACAGGATCAGGATCCGGCCGCGTTTGGTCAGCAATTTGTGGACCTGGTCAAGCCGGCAATGATGACCCGACAGAAGCTGCTGCCGTACATGTACACTCTCTTCTACCGCGCTCACGTGATGGGGGACACTGTGGCCAGGCCGCTGTTCTTTGAGTGAGTACATCACATAAAGTATACACACATATACACAAACATATAAACACACATATAAACACATAAACACACATGATGTATACACGCATACACACACACACACATACACACACATATACACACACCTAATATATACACATACACACACACACACACACACACACACACACACACACACACACACACACACACACACACACATACACATTGACACACTGTGGCCCGGCTGCTGTTCTTTGAGTGAGTACAACACATGATGTATACACTCATACACACACATATACACACACATATAAACACACATATATACTCACATATAAACACACATATTGATATATCCACACATATGTAAACACACATATGCACACATGTACTCACATATACACACATATACACACATGTACACACATACGTACACTTACACAAACACACATACATAATACAGACACATACATGCACACACACATTGACACATAGTGGCCAGGCCTGTGTTCTGCCAGTGAGTACACGAATCACACATACACACACACACACACACACGCACAAATTCACACACGCACGCACGCACCTACCTATCTACCTACCAACCTACCTACCTACCTGCCTACCTACCTACCTACCAACCTACCTATTTACCTATCTACCTACCTACTTACCTACATCTACCTACATACCTACCTACCTACCTACCCACCCACCCACCAAACCTACCTACCTACTTGCCTATCTACCTACCTACCTAACTACTTACCTACCTCTACCTATTCATCCTTCCTTCTGCTAGTCCGTCTTTCTGTCCATCATCCATCTATCACTCAATGTTTCCGTCCCTTAAGTAGCCATCCTGTCGTTGTATACCCACTAACTTCTACCCTTCCCCCACCCCCCCTCCCATGTAACCTCCCGCCCAAACCAGGTTCCCTGAGGACGAGAAGACTCTGACCATTGACCGGCAGTTTATGCTTGGCCCTGCCCTGCTCATCTCGCCCATCTTGACACAGGTAGACTTACTATATATATA